CCTCCTCCGTTGTGCTGGTGGTAGTTGATGAGCAGAGGGATGGAATCGAATACATACTTTTCAGCCACATAGTATCGCTTGGGGTTGTCATTTGTTTCTTTGATGTGATAGTGCTTTATGCAGGGGTTGCTCTCACTTAAACAAATGAAACAGAAATGCAATAATTAAGAAGCAATGCTTTGACACAAAAATGCCAACCGGTATCAGGTTCCTACTAGCTTTTGTGTGTTTTTTCCTCGCTCACAAAGACGACAGGTATATGTCAACCTGTGTCCGTCTGGACAGGTTGGCCCTGGGTGCTGTTTGAAGGACTGGATCTGCCACCTGGACCAGTTTAGGTCAGTGCAGTGATGGTTCTCCCACAGCAACCAAAATGGGAGTGGCCTCATATGTGCCATGCGTGGCCTTCCCTGCTCTTAAGGGCTTACCTCGTTATCAGCATATGCTAGGTAAGCATGCTGGGCCCTTCGCACCAGTTTGATGTGTGCAGCAGAGTTAACAAATGTTAATGTGCCTACAATCCCATGGCGGAGCGTGTTAAAATAAGGATTCCGAGCCCCAACCCCCAGAGGTTCCAAGGACAGTTCTAGGTGGGATTCTCATAGATCCTGGGGTAACACTTGAAGAAAAACGACTTGTCCACTTTCCTTGTTTTACCAGGAGGACACAGAGAGGCGAAGAAAAAGAGGCTGTTTGTTGCATTTTGGAAGGATGTAAACTGAATCTCAGAGGGTTAAAGTTAGAGGTGGGACTGCGATTAGAGCCCCACTCGAAGTCCTCATGAAAGGCTTTCCCACTGGGACATCCCGAAGTGGGTAGAGGAAGTAAGGTTGGGAAGGGAGGAGATGGGAGGGGAGTGGGTATGTGACTTGATATTGATTAATGCATCCCAGTAGCTCTGCATTTGAGGGGCCCTTCCTCCTGGACCTGAAGGTGGATGCCCTGCACCGTCTTACCAGGTCTCTGTGGATGACACACGCCTCTTCCAGGTAGGCCATGCCCTCACACACGTCCAGGCACATGCCCAGCAGGGTCTCTGCAGCCAAGAGCCCCCGCTGGCTGCGCAGGTAATCCGACAGGCAGCCATGCTCCATGAACTCGAACACGAGGCAGATGGGGGCCTGCTCCAGGCACACCCCGTACAGCTGGACCAGTTTGGGGTGAGAGAGTTTCCTGGAGGAAAAAGGCAAGGGGTGAGATGGTCCACATTTAGTTTCCTGAAAAAACTACCCGCAAAACACAAAGGCGTGTAACTCGAGCCTAGCCCTGAAGGATGGCAACTGTGTCTGAGGATGAGCGGAGGCCTGTGGGGCTGGCATGTTGTGAACCGGAGGAGAGATGGGTAGGAGGTGAGATTCACCAGCTGGCAGGGCCAGGCCATGCCAGGCCTGGGGACCAGGGTGAGAGTGTGATTTTATTCTCCGTGCCATAGAAAGCCATCGCTGGATTTGAGCAGGGAGCTGGCACAGCACGGCATCAGAGTGCTATTTAAAGAACACAGCCGAGAACACCCGCCCCACGGCACCTCTGTCTGCCCTGGTCCGGACCACTCACATCATGACTTCAGCCTCCTCTAGGAAGTCCTCTTCAGACATAGCTCCTTCCTGAATGGTTTTGATGGCCACCTTGTCCTTGTTGAGCCAGTAGCCAAGATGCACCAGTCCGAACTGCCCGCTGCCGATCTCCTGCACGAAAGTGAGCTCCGAGGGATGGATCACCCATTTCCCTGGAGGCGACAGAGAGGGTTTTCCAGGGTTGGCCAGCGGTACTCAGGCATTGTTTGCTAATACGTTGCTAATAGCTTTTAGTAGAGTGCTCTGTACAAAGTAGGGGTTCAATAAGCACTTAATCGATGAACGCTCAGCTAAAACCAATGGACATTGATTTGGCCAAGATAAATGGTCTCATATATAAAACTCTCTTACTCACACACATACATGCTTTATTTGTACACACATCTCCAGGTGTACCTGTTCTAATGGCCATTCTAAGTCTGGGGAAGACTGAGGTTCATGGAACGCCCATTCAGATTTGCCCCCAAACCTTTAGGGACATGAGTTTTAGGCAAAAGTATAACATTTCTAAATGCACTGCTTACCATATCTCAGCCCAGCTGTGATGGGGGCTTTCTGCCTCCAGGAACAAACAGGGTAGCGAAGGCGCGTGACCAGGCCTGGGTTGATTAAAAAGCCAAAGGCTGTGGTTAGAGCTTTGCTGTACCAACAACCATCCCAGTTAAATCACCAGGAAGAAATATAACGCAGTGCAAACGCTACTTTTATTCTGGAAAACAGATCCCAAAGCCCAGTAATTGACATTCCACCCTCTCTGAGAAGAATCAGAAACACAGGTGGGCAGGTGGCGAAATCCCAGGATCCCAGCAGCAGAATTGGCTAATGGAAAATATGTAATATAATCCAGTGTTTGGCACCCTTTCCTATTTGTCTATTTACTTATCATTTAAGGTCAGCGTGTCTGACATGAAGAAACCAGGCTCGTCGTTTGTCACTTTTCTCCAAGTGTCTGTGGGAGCCCCCTCCCCCGTACCCTCCCC